TTATTTATGACATGTTATAAGTTTTATAGGGTTTGGTGCATAACAAATATATAAAAACCGGGGAAACATATGTAATTATGTATTTACTTTTTATGATTATAATGACAATATGATGAAAATGGTTATTACAATTACAATTAATAATAATATAACTGAAAAAATAATATAGTTTCTATTAATATCATTGTATCTTTACATTTACATTTAGTCATTTAGCAGACGCTTTTATCCAAAGCGACTTACAAATGAGGACAATAGAAGCAATCAAAATGACAAAGTCAAATGACAAGTCTCGGTTAGCCTTACGCAGTACACGTAGCAAGGTATTTTATATATATATATATATGTATATATACACACACACACACACACACATCTACACCTTCATTTGAGTCCAGCTGTGTTTGATTATACTGATTGGACTTGATTAGGAAAGCCACACACCTGTCTATATAAGACCTTACAGCTCACAGTGCATGTCAGAGCAAATGAGAATCATGAGGTCAAAGGAACTGCCTGAAGAGCTCAGAGACAGAATTGTGGCAAGGCACAGATCTGGCCAAGGTTACAGAAAAATTTCTGCTGCACTTAAGGTTCCTAAGAGCACGGTGGCCTCCATAATCCTTAAATGGAAGACGTTTGGGATGACCAGAACCCTTCCTAGAGCTGGCCGTCTGGCCAAACTGAGCTATCGGGGGAGAAGAGCCTTGGTGAGAGAGGTAAAGAAGAACCCAAAGATCACTGTGGCTGAGCTCCAGAGATGCAGTCGGGAGATGGGAGAAAGTTGTAGAAAGTCAACCATCACTGCAGCCCTCCACCAGTCGGGGCTTTATGGCAGAGTGGCCCGACGGAAGCCTCTCCTCAGTTCAAGACACATGAAAGCCCGCATGGAGTTTGCTAAAAAAACACCTGAAGGACTCCAAGATGGTGAGAAATAAGATTCTCTGGTCTGATGAGACCAAGATAGAACTTTTTGGCCTTAATTCTAAGCGGTATGTGTGGAGAAAACCAGGCACCTGTCCAATACAGTCCCAACAGTGAAGCATGGTGGTGGCAGCATCATGCTGTGGGGGTGTTTTTCAGCTGCAGGGACAGGACGACTGGTTGCAATCGAGGGAAAGATGAATGCGGCCAAGTACAGGGATATCCTGGATGAAAACCTTCTCCAGAGTGCTCAGGACTTCAGACTGGGCCGAAGGTTTACCTTCCAATAAGACAATGACCCTAAGCACACAGCTAAAATAATGAAGGAGTGGCTTCACAACAACTCTGTGACTGTTCTTGAATGGCCCAGCCAGAGCCCTGACTTAAACTCAATTGAGCATCTCTGGAGAGACCTAAAAATGGCTGTCCACCTACGTTTACCATCCAACCTGACAGAACTGGAGAGGATCTGCAAGGAGGAATGGCAGAGGATCCCCAATTCCAGGTGTGAAAAACTTGTTGCATCTTTCCCAAAGACTCATGGCTGTATTAGATCAAAAGGGTGGTTCTACTAAATACTGAGCAAAGGGTCTGAATACTTAGGACCATTTGATATTTCAGTTTTTCTTTTTTAATAAATCTGCAAAAATGTCAACAATTCTGTGTTTTTCTGTCAATATGGGGTGCTGTGTGTACATTAATGAGGAAAAAAAATTAACTTAAATGATTTTAGCAAATGGCTGCAATATAACAAAGAGTGAAAAATTTAAGGGGGTCTGAATACTTTCCGTACCCACTGTATATATTATACACACACACACATACATATACACACACACGCACAAAGAAAAACAAGTAGATAGAATAGAAAAAATAGAAAGCTAGTGTTTTTTTTAAAATAAAAAAAAAGAAGATAAATTAGAATTAAAATAGAATAGAAAGTGCTAGAGTTAGAGGGTCAAATAAAGGTGGAACAGATGTGTTTTTAGTCGTTTCTTGAAGATGGTTAAGGACTCAGCTGCTCGGATTGATTTGGGCAGGTCATTCCACCAGGAGGGAACAGTTAATGAAAAAGTCTGTGAAAGTGATTTTGTGCCTCTTTTAGATGGCACAATAATACGCCGTTCACTTGCAGAACGCAAGCTTCTAGAGGGCACATAACTCTGAAGTAATGAATTTAGGTAAATGGGTGCAGAGCCAGTGGTGGTTTTGTAGGCAAACATTAATGCCTTGAATTTAATGCGAGCAGCTACTGGTAGCCAGTGCAAATTGATGAACAGAGGTGTGACATGTGTTCTTTTCGGCTCATTAAAGATTAATCTTGCAGTGGCATTTTGGATTAATTGTAGAGGTTTGATAGAAGTGGCTGGAAGACCTGCCAAGAGAGCATTGCAATAGTCCAGCCTGGATAGAACAAGAGCTTGAACAAGGAGTTGTGTTGCATGTTCTGAAAGAAAGGGCCTGATCTTCCTAATGTTGTATAAAGCAAATCTGCAGGACCCCAGTTTTAGCATTGTGGTCTGAGAAATTCAGCTTATCATCAATCACAACTCCAAGGTTTCTAGCTGTTTTTGAAGGAGTTATGGTTGATGAGCCTAACTGGATGGTGAAATTTTGATAAAGTGATGTGTTTGTTGAAACCACAAGCAGTTCTGTCTTAGCCAGGTTGAGTTGAAGGTGATGGTCCGTCATCCAACAAGAAATGTCTGTTAGACATGCTGAGATGCGAGCAGCTATCGTCGGATCATCAGGATGGAATGAAATGTAGAGTTGAGTGTCATCAGCATAGTAGTGATATGAAAAGCCATGTTTCTGAATGACAGAACCTAGTGATGCCATGTAGACAGAGAAGAGAAGTGGTCCAAGAACTGAGCCCTGAGGCACCCCAGTAGCTAGATGTTGTGACTTGGACACCTCACCTCTCCAAGATACCTTGAAGGACCTATCTGAGAGGTAAGACTCAAACCACTAGCGCGCGGTTCATGAGATCCCATTTTCCAATAGGGTTGGACAGGAGAATCTGGCGGTTCACCGTATCAAAAGCAGCAGACAGATCCAGCAAGATAAGTATAGAAGATTTGGAAGCCGCTCTTGCCAGTCTTAGGGCTTCAACAACTGAGAGCAAGGCAGTCTCGGTTGAATGTCCACTTCTGAAGCCAGAGTCAGTAGGATTTTGTGATTTGCGCCATACTCTTTCTGCAGCTCTGAGCTTAGAACGATGCTCACGGAGAACATCAGATAGCCAAGGGGCAGAAGAGGTGGTACGAGCTGGCCTGGAAGTCAAGGGGCAGACAGTGTCTAAACAAGACGTAAGAGTGGAGCAGAAAGTATCAGTAGCACTGTTAACATCAAGAGATGATAACTGTTCAGGGGAAGGAAGCAAAGATGAAACCATAGCCGATAGCCGGGAGGGTGAGAGAGAGCGTAGGTTACGTTGAAAAGTGACATGTGGAGGGGTATGTGTTGTGTCAGGAAACATGTTGAGGTTAAGAGTGAGGAGGAATTGATCCGAGGTGTGCAGTGGAGTAACCACTACATGATCAGTGGAGCAGTGTTGTGTGTAAATAAGGTCCAGTTGGTTGCCTGATTTGTGAGTAGCCGTAGTTAATACTCGCTTGAGATCAAAAGAGGCAAGCAGAGTGTGGAAGTCTGCAGCCTGAGGTTTATCTAGGTGGATGTTGAAGTCTCCAAGCATAACTAGTGGAGTACCATCCTCAGGAAAGGTTGAGAGCAGCACATCTAATTCTTCCACGAAGTTACCTAGTGGTCCTGGGGGTCGATAAACAACTATAAAATGGATTTTAAGAGGGTGGGTAATAGTGGCTGAATGTGATTCAAATCTTTATGTATTTATGTATGTATTCATATATTTATTTTATATTGTATTAGCTATTATTATTATTATTATTGATGTAATATTAGCTACACCCTCAAAATATAAAGTCCAGAATAAATGTATGAGCAAAACAAAACAAAAACACTTCCAACACAGTGGAAATACTGGATCTCACTGGTGTAGAACACACACAGACCTGCTGATAGGCCATGTTGAGCATCAGGTATCTCTCTGAGCGTCTCATGGGCAGGCAGAGGCTGTACAGCACGTGAATGCAGCCAAAGAAGAAGCTCAGCAAGCCCAGCTGTTTGCGGCTCTCCAGCCAGCCCTCCAGCCAGGGCGGGAAGCGGCGGTACTTTGTCCCGTAGATGAGCTGGTACACAGCAGCAAGCTGTCCTGCTAAATACACCAGTGCTAGCAGAACGATAGCCACTATAGGCAGTGTCCTGTTCACTATTTCCAGAGGAATCTTGTAGAAAAAACTCTGTCTGGTCTTCATATAAGGATGGATAATGTCCCGCACAAAGGAGTAAGCGAAAAAGAAGATGGACAAGGCGACCGCGGTCAGAACGGGTCCTTTCCAGGCGGTGAAGAGATGCAGAGGCATATTCTCAATCTCTTTGGCAGAGGAGAGCGCACCCATGTCCACAGGGATGAAAGTGAGCTGACGGGCCATTTCAATGAGCTGCTGTCGAGCATCCACTGAATTACTGCAAATATAGACCTGTAGAAAGAGATTACAAGCAATCAATAATCGCTCCTTTCAAAACCTTCATCATTCACAGCAGCAATTAGGCTGATATATTGGTGACCAAATCATTGTTGGCCAATTCCAGGTTTAAATTAGATTGTGAATACCAGATTTTCAATGTGGTCTCAGACTTTAGATCCCACTGTATATATGCATTATAGTTTACAGTAGGAACAATTCCCTAGAACCCATAACTAGAGTGGAATTAATTCACTGAGTTTATAAGGTTTCAAAATTAGACTGTGAGATAAAAGCAAGTTTATGGCATGACTGTAATGGATCTTTCATTGTGTTAATAAAACCTTTTCCTTTTTCAGCTCACAAAGTTTCCAAAGAGGGCAGATCATCTGTTCATCATTCGAATCAGCTGCTCACAGAAAGTAAGGCATTTACTTTCACTGCTGGCTGGAAGAGCCATGGGTCTCTGCTAATACGAAGAGACATAATCCTCATCATCATCTTCATTCCTTGGACACCAAGTCACTTCAGGATTGTCATTAGCATACCGAGGACTGTATTTTGTTTTTGACCCACAGCATTTAGCACACCGTTGAACACAGCAGGGTCTGTAATATTTTATTTTTGTTGTATTTTATTTTGCCTATACTGCAGTTATAGAGCAGTAAAACAGAGTAGCCTATATCTGTGTTCTTTAGTAAAACTAAAACTATTTCAAAATATTTTTTTCATTAAATGAAATAAAGTTATAGAGTAGTAGATCTGTGTTGTTGAAACAAATTTCAAATATTTTGTCATTAATTGAAATAAAGCTAAAATAAAATGCAAGTATTAGATGAAAAACTCAAATTAAAATAAGAAATATTGCCTTGTCAACTAAGTGAAACAAAACAAATTTAAATACCAAAATGTTTGAAAATAAAACTGAAGTAAAGCTGAATTGAAGTCGTTTTTAAAAAATAAATAACAGAATTACTAAAACTAAAAATTAAAAATTAAAACAAAAAATTTAAGCTACTTCAAAATATTAATAAATAAGTTTAAGTACTAAAATTACAAAAAAAAAACTGAAATAAAAAGTAAATTAAAGCTGAACAGAAATACTTTTTTACAAAATAACTAAAATTACAAAAGCACATAGAAGAATTGCTAAAACTAAAACTGAAAAATGTAAAAACTAAAAGTAACTTTATAAGTTTTATATTTATGAGTTTAAGCACTAACATTTCTAAACATAAAACTGAAATAAAAAAATTTAAGCTGAATAGAAATATTTATAGTAATAATTACAAAGGCACATAACAGAATTAAAACTAAAAATGAAAAATGAAAACATAAACCTATTTATTAATATTTTGAAGTAGCTTTAATTTAAGTACTAAAATGACTAAAAATAAAACTTAAATAAAAATAAAGTAAAGCTGAACAGAAATACTTTTTACAAAATAACTAAAATTACAAAAGCACATAGGAAAATTTCTAAAACTAAAACTGAAAACTGAAAACAAAAAAACAAAGTAACTTTATAATATTATATTTATAAGTTTAAGTACTAAAATTGCTAATCATAAAACTGAAATAAAAAAATGTAAGCTGAACAGAAATAGTTATAGTAATAATTACAAAGGCACATAACAGAACTAAAACTAAAAATGAAAAATGAAAACAAAAAAGCTACTTCAAAATATTAATAAATAAGTTTAAGTACTGAAATTACTCAAATTAAAACTGAAATAAAAATAAATTAAAGCTTACTAGAAATATTTAAAATAATAATAATAATTACAAAAGCACATAGCAGAATTACTAAAACTGAAAACAAAAAATTTAAGCTACTTCAAAATATTAATAAATATGTTTAAGTACTAAAATATTCTAAATAAAACTGAAATAAACAGATTAAAGCTGAACAGAAATATTTGTAATAATTGTAATAATAATTACAAAAGCATGTAACAGAATTACTAAAACTAAAATTATAAAATTAAAACATAAAAAAGCAACTTCAAAATATTAATAAATACTATAGTACAGAAATAATACTTCAATTCCACTGGTACTATATAGACTGCGAATGAGTCCAGGTCGAGACACTGTGTCTGGGCTCAGATACACCTTGCGCAGACTGTTCTGAAGCTCTGAACAGAAACATTTTGTACTGTGTGTTTTATTTGGCCAAGCTTGCTAAGAGATTATTTGGCTCAGCATGTACAAAACCTTTAGACTTTCCTGAGTCTTGTGGCTATGGAAGTACACTGAATTTTGTACAACGTACCTGTCGACTGGAGTCTCTGGGGCCTGACTGCATGGCCCAGGACGAGATCACATTGAAGCCTTTGACCACAATGGATTCTGGGAATAGGGACGCTAGGTATTCTGCGTTTGATTCTGGATACTGGTTGACCCGTCTGTTGTTGCTGACATCCACCAGTATTTTTCCAGCCAGCAGGTGTTTGATGTCCCAGAGGGAGGAATAGTGCTCTCGGCGAATGGCCAGGAACACGATGTTGGCCTTCCACACTGCGTCCTCGTGATGGGTCACGTCTACCACGTGTGGGAACGACTCGGCCGCTCTCTTGGGCTGACGGCTCCCCACCACCACGCGAAAGCCGCTGCGGAGCAGCCGCAGGGTCAGGCTTTTGGAGAAGTCTCCAGAACCGATGATGCCGACCGTGGGCTTGCCCGATCCCTCTTTGGACCCGTTCTTCAGCCCGTTTGGTAGGAAGCAGACTTTGGTGCTGGCCGGGCTGCTGCCCAGCAGGGAAATAGAGTCCATTTTCAGGCCCGAAGCACCTCGTACTGGATCTTAAGACACTTATGGAATAATGCTTTGTTAAGGGTTAGTTCACCCAAAAATGAAAATTAGCCAGTGTTTTACTCACCCTCAAAGCATCCTAGGTGTATGTGACTTTTTTTCTTTCAGACGAATCCAATTGGAGTTATATTAAAAATTGTTCTGGCCCCTCCAAGCCTTTCAATGGGGGTAAGCGGGTGTTGGTTGTCAACAGTTCAGAAGACGTGAAATAAAGTGCGTGCATCCCGTGAAATAAAGCGCGCGCATCCTTAATAAAACGTCCCTCACACAGCTCCGGGGGGTGAATAAAGGCCTCCTTTAGCGAATCCAAACATTTTTTAAAGATATTAAAAAAGAAAAATTTTAAAAAGATATTTAAGATATAATAAACACTTTTTTCTCACTTCCGCTGACTGTCATACGCGGAAGCCGTTCCGGCGGATGACGTAAGACGTTGAGCGTTGCGTGATAATTGACGAACGCGGAGACAAAACAAAACAAAACGCCGGTCATGAATTAGAAGTACAAAACGAGGATTTGTAAAGAAGAATGTCGGAGGATTTCGATATAAGCCAAGAGGAGACTGGTTTTCCTTTGCTAAAGTAAGGAAACTTTGCTTCCTTTGCTCCTGCATTTCTCAGAGGCGCGCGCACGACGCATACGTACTACGTCATCCGCCTGAACGTCTTCCACGTACCACAGTCAGCGGAAGTGAGAAAAAAGTGTTTATTACGTTTGAAATATGGATATTTATCTTTAAAAAATGCTTGGATTCGCTACAGGAGCCCCCCCCCCACGCACTTTATTTCACGTCTTCTGAACTGTTGACAACCAACACCCGTTTACTCCCATTGAAAGGCTTGGAGGAGCCAGGACAATTTTTAATATAACTCCAATTGGATTCGTCTGAAAGAAGAAAGTCACATACACCTAGGATGCTTTGAGGGTGAGTAAAACACAGGCTAATTTTCATTTTTGGGTGAACTAACCCTTTAAAGGCGATCTCAGATGCCTATTTTGTGCAATTTGGTTAAAATCTCTTTAAACTTGTCAAGAACTAATATTTCACCCCACAATAAAAAATACAAATATATTTTATATATTTTATTTTGAGATGAAATATCACTGGAAACATCCTTTCTGGACATATTTTTACAAAATAAGAAAAAGTAAGTTATTTTTTTGTTTTTAATCATGGTGGTATTTATGTCCTTTATTTTGTAGAAATGTGTCCTGATAGCATGATTTTCATTATTGTATTACACTAATGAGAAACTAATGACAATCATCATTGAGAATAATGACAATTTAAACTCGCAAGTAAACTATCTGGATGTATTATAGCAGGGGTGCCCAACCCTGCTCCTGGCGATCGACTGTCCTGCAAAGTTCAGCTCCAACCCTAATCAAACACACCTGAAGCAACTAATTAGGGTCTTCAAGATCACTTAAATAAAGATCCACAGGTTGGATGCATGTAATGTTTCCTCATAAAAACCTGTTTTAAAATGTAAAAAGGTATCCCAGCAATGAATACAGAATAGAATAGAATAGAATAGAATGTGTAATCAAATTCTGTATTCTTTTAATGTCATGACTTTGAAATCTCAGACAAGCTGTGTGACCTGTTAGAGTATCTAAGGTGATTGTTTGCTGGTATTGATACGATATATTTCATATATCATTCTTTATTCATCAAAGAAGAACAGAAACCATATCTAGTCTATATATTTATATAATATCAGGGGCAGGTTGCTGTGTAAATCACGCATAATGATGGTGGTAGAATAGAGCATGACGCACCCGATGTATATGTAATTGCCAAAAACATCTCAAGGTTATAACGTTACCTGTAATGGAATCTGCCGAGGCACCATCGAGCAAACAGATGAGATGTGTGTGTCCCTCACAGGTGCCTGTGTCCCCGCCCTCTGCTCTGTCCGTTTGATTTGCTCTGACCCACGCTATAGTCAAGAAGGGTCTGTAGTCGCACACGGAGAAACGGCAAATTTCTTCATTGGGCGGCAGCTGTTACTAAATTCTAGCTGCTATTTTCCTCTAGGGGGCGCGTGGAGGCTCAAAAAGAGAATTCTTCATTGAGTCAAATGTAAAAATTTAGAACGCTTTTAATTTCACTGGAATTATTTGTGCACGTAATAGTGTAATCGTTTTAATCTATACATTTCTTTGGTATTGACCCTGACATACAAATGGAAATAAGTCCCAATAATAAATCTTTAATAAACGATTTTGTGAAGCCTTCATTCATTAATCACTAACGAACGTGGTTGGTTCATCCTGCTCGGCGCTGAGAAAAACAACAGTTACCACGTGATAAGTCGTCATGAACAATAATTTAATCCTAAAAAATAAACTGATATTGTTTAACAGCCATTGTATTAAATATACCCAAGAAATTAAGTAGGAGAATGATTATTTAGACCGGTTCGTTTTTGACAATTTATTAATAACTTCCGGGCCGCTATACCTTCTAGTCACCATAAACCAAGCTTCACGATAATCTGCCGTTCTTGTTTGTTCTGTTTCTATGCTCTAACATGTTGGAGTGCGGCAGCATGTCTCTAATCTGCTGTGTGAAGACAGCCTCTGCAGCAGGATGCACCTCTGGGTTGATCTAGGCTGGTAACTCAATATTATAGTTAATAATAAAGCACCATCACTGAGCAAGACATGTTTAAAGGATGTTTATATAAGCCAAGATGCTGATTTTGAAGATGTAGTAGGTAACTAGACTATGTTCGTTTACTTTCATGAAAATGAAACTAATAGATGCTTTTAGAATAGTGTTAATGCACATAAAATAGGCTACTCTTTATCAGTTATACCTTTTAAATATGCAAATTATGCAATATCATATGCACAATTGATAGCGACCCCACAGAAAATGACTTGTTTTTGCTATAACGTGATACATATTTCACAACCTCTTCTCATAACATTGTTTATTTAACTATATTTAAATATTTAATATGCATTTGGGGAAATAAACTAGTTTTGTGCCCGTTTTAATATAGGTTGTTTCATAAAATACCTCAGGAAAAAAAAACAGTCAATTACCAGCAATATAAAATAAATCAAATGGTTATTTAGAAGAAAAAAATAATGAAATAAATTAAATGTTTTTTTTTTTAAATTCAGTTGAGCTTTTTTTCTGACTTCTGGTGAATTGCACATCACAGGTGAACAATCAAAGAGCAAAGCACTGTGACAAAACCCTTTCAGCCAAACACTGATGACATTTTCATGTGAGAAGGATTGAAACAATTCATTAAAATTAAAACCCCTGCTATTATGGGCTGTACAACAGATTACTGGAAAAACCTGATAATAATGACACATTCCACCATCTCAATGCTGGTACACAGAAAGGCCGAAACAGACAGTATACTGGTTTAGGTTTAATTTAAAATATAGATAGATAGATAGATAGATAGATAGATTAGGGACAGTGCAAGTAGACTGACATTTATTGCTTGACTTTGTGTCAAAATCTGTGATACCTTAAAGGGTTAGTTCAGTCAAAAATGAAAATTAGGCTGCGTTTCACTCACCCCCGATGCATCCTAGGTGTATATTCTTTGGCAGGAGTGTGGACCGAGAAAGAGCCAGCAGGAAGAGCATGCTGACGACAACATGTCAATTTCTCCAAAAATAGCGCCTTCACTCTTTCCTCCAGTCCTCCGATGAGTTCACACTGCTGTTTACCCCTTTTCTTCTTCAACTTCTGTGCAACAGCAGGACAGCAGCTTCAGGCCTGCAGATACAGCATGTTGTTCCTGACCATAATCCCATTCTGCTGATTCTCTTCTTCTCTATCAGCCCCACTTCAGATTAAAAACTATGGGACAGAGAGCTTTCTCTCGTGCCGCTCCGAGGTTATGGAATGCGCTTCCTTTAAACATTCGAAGTGCTCCTACACTAAGTACTTTTAAGAAACTGTTGAAAACCCACTTTTTTAAAATTGTCTATTATGATTAAGTTGTATTTACATGTGACATTGTTGTAGCGCTTTGGGTTGAGAAAAGCGCATTATAAATAAAATGTATTATTATTATTATTATTATTATTATAATGCTGAAAGTCACTTACTGTGAGACGGGTAAAGCTGCAGCACATCCTGGAGGAGTGTGTATGGAGGTCAGAGGAATATCATATGATGTTGTTAGGAGGATGTTAGTGCACAGTTTGTGCATTGCATTGGTTTGAGGCCCTGGTAGTGATTATTAAACTGTGTAAAAATGCACTAAAATATTCCAAAAATGTAGAATCAGTTGTATCTGCACATCTACAAAAGATATTTTGAAGAACATTGATGTGTGCTCCATAAATGAAAATTAGTCATACAGTTTTGGAGCAACACGAGTAAACGATGACTGAATTTTCCTGTTTGAATGTTTCTTCCTTACTGTCTTGTCCAGACTGTCCTACAAAAACTCACCAGCTTTGTTTTTCCCAAATCCCTAATGTTTGTTCTAGTTTCTGATCCTCAATTTAAATAGGACCGTTAAGAATATGAGTAATTTTTGTCCTGGGGGGGATGGGGAGGACATCAGGGAAGGAGTGACTTTAATTCTACGTTTGAAAACTCACTTTAAAAAACGTAGTCATTCTTACTTCACACTGAGCTCAGCGTTCACACACCCTGTAGGCCTGTTTCCTTTTTTAGAGTTCAGTTGATGTTCTAATTAAATTGGTCAATTTCCCTTGCAGCCTCACTCACGACCATCCTATGATTCTGTTTCTGTTCTGTAAAGAGCTCTGGAAAACTTTCAGCTCTGACTGAACTAGTTGCAGCTACGAGACTGAGAATAATCATGCGTTTCTCTAACTTGCTCTTTATTGGTATTGTAACATTAGGAACATCTGAATTCTGCTCTGCTGGACCTCTTCATTCACAGTGCAAAGTCGAGTGGTAAAGTACTTTAAAAATGCATTAAAGAATATGAAATCTTTAGCATTAGATTTGCATACAGAATTTAAAGTTATGTTTGAGAAGAAACTTAAATAATGCAAGTGTATTTGTTTATTTTATATTATAAAATGTTTATATATGTATAAATTTATATACTGTTTGTGTATATTTATATTTGTAATATTATAGTTAAGTAAACCATTTCGATATACACTACAGTTCAAAAGTTTGGGGTCAGTAAATTTTTATTCTTTCTTTTTTTGAAAGAAATTAAAACTTTTATTCATGATGTGTTAAATTGTTAAGAAGTGATAGCAAAGATTTATATTGTTAGAAAAGTTCTTTTCTAAAAATGCTGTTCTTTTTGACTTTTTATTCATCAACGAATCCTGAAAAAAAAGTATCGCAGATTCCCAAAAAATATTTGGCAGCACAACTATTGCAAATATTGATAATTCTAATAATAAATCAGACTTTTTATTCATCAACGAATCCTGAAAAAAAAGTATCGCAGATTTCCAAAAAATATTTGGCAGCACAACTATTGCAAATATTGATAATTCTAATAATAAATCAGCATATTAGAATGATTTCTTAAGGATCATGTGACACTGAAGACTGCATTTAGCAAGATTACAGTTTTTTTCTGTATTTTTTTTTATTTATAGTTTTAGCTATAACAGTGATACAGTTGATTGAGAAAACTTTTTTTTTTTTCTTACCTGATCCCAAACTTTTGAACGGTGTATATTAAAAAAAAAAAAAAAAAAAAACAAAAACACAACAAAATTACTAAAACTTTAACTATATAAAATATAAAAATAAAAACTAATTCAAATATTAATCAGCTATAATCGTGTCCATGATACTAACACATGACTCATTTATAAAAAATAAAAAAAAATTATGAGGTTTTGATTAGTTAACCAAAAAGTTATGATTTTTTTTTTTTATCTTAAATCTTTAAGTTTAAACTGTTTTGTTTGTAGAAGTACATTTCCATTCAGAATTTTAGTTGTTTAATCACTATTTGTCTTTGTTCATTTTCCACTATTTAAAATATTTATATGTGGTTATAATGTTTATACAATGTATAATGTATTTAATTTCTAAGTATTCTTATTATGAATTCATTTAAATTTAGATTTTGGAGAAAATACATAGTAATTTTATAGTTTTATAGTAAAATAGTATAGTTCTATAGAATTATAAAGTAGATGTGGAGTTTGGGAAAAGGCAGTTTTTAAGTAGTCAGCGCAATAGCTTCTGTTTCCACTAGATGGCAGCATATATTGTATATAGGTTTAGCTATAACGGTGATACAGTTGATTGAGAACTTGTGTTTGGCTTTTCCCAGGTATTTCAGTCTCCCTTGCAGGAGTGTGTATGAAGCTCTGGTTGCACGAATTAAAAAGTGGAGGACAGTCTCAACCTGTGCCACGGGAGGAGAGAAATGTCTCTACAAGGTGTGTGATTTAATGTAAAGAGATGCGTTTATGTATCATCAGTGTAAACAGAGCCGGATTTACCTCTTATCGTGACATAGGCAAAACAAATTTTTGGGCCTCCCTTCCTTATCAATATATAATATTAGCACCCCAGCAAACAAAAATATTAATCAGTGGAAACTGTTACAGTGTTTTCTATCACAACAAGCGCTTATGTTCAGGGTTACGACCGTTTCTTTTGGTAAATATTATCAGTCAATAAAGATCGAATGTAGTTCTTTCTTTGAGAACGGAGAACCGTTCCATTAATAGGCTCCGGCGTCGTGGCCATACTACTTGTCCACTTTCGGGAGTGCATTATTTCTCTAATAATTTTAATGGCCTGGAGTCACAACCAATAGGCTCCGGCGTCGTGGCCATACCACTTTCGGGAGTGCATTATTTCTCTAATAGTTTTAATGGCCTGGAGTCACAACCACCTCAAGACATTGTTCGGATGATTTATTTCAAGACATCTGTCATGTTTCCGTCCTGAAATCGTGTGTGTGTTGAAGTAATTTCTTACTCACCTCATCCCAAACCTTCCTTTGCAAATTCCAAAATGTAATTTTAGAGCTAATAACAGACTTGCGCTATTGATATGCAGGCTAATGCAGTTATTAGAGAGATAGAGAGATTAAGCGCGTGTGAATAGACCTGCGTCTGTGCGTCCCTCAGCAGCAGCGTCTACTAATAGCGAATCTTTAAGTTGAACTGCTTCAAGAACCTCGCTACTAAGAGATGTCATGTAGCTTTTCATCTGTTAAACTATTTTATTGATAAATTCGCGGGGCAGCGCTGACAAGCATCTCCGCGTGTGTGCATCTGTGTGTGTGCGTCTGAGAATGAGAACCAGAACGGAGAAAGAAAGCGCAATTTCCGTAGCTACATAAAAAGGCGGAAAACATGGAAATAGTTTGTCATTTTTAAACTATTGGTTGTTATATTTGTCTTCTGGGGGTTTTGGTTCTTTACTGTTGTAGATTGCCCATAGTTTAAAAAATATACTGATATATATGAGCGAGCATAGGCATGTGCCTAGAATGCCTATGCATAAATCCGGCCCTGAGTGTAAATGATATGAATATTTTGCTCTTTCTTTTTCTCTTGTAGTTGCAGTCTGCATCTGAGCACTTCATATCAGCCAAACACACAACTCCAGTAAAGAAATACATTGATGACATCAACTTCCGACTCGTCTCCTATGGATTTTTCACACACTGCCATGTATCTGTAAGTGTCTATATACAAACAATCATCTAAATTTGACTTCATTTATATAAGAAAATCACGTTTGACCAAGCAAATAACCTGTTTAAACTTGTTCCTCAGGCGAGAAAGAAAGAGCAATTTCCGTAGCTACATAAAAAGGCGGAAAACATGGAAATAGTTTGTCATTTTTAAACTATCGGTTGTTATATTTGTCTTCTGGGGGTTTTGGTTCTTTACTGTTGTAGATTGCCCATAGTTAAAAAAAAAAAATTATATATCTCTCTCTCTTCATTGTGTTTGATTGAAAAACCATTAATGTAAAGACAAAACCAGCTTTTGAGGTGTATTGTCTGTGTGCAGGAAGTGGACTTACTGAAGCTCCAGGATACAAAGAGATCACCAGTGACTTCCTGTGCACCCAGCGCTCATCTGCTAACTGTACTGTGTACTAGCACGGAAACAAGACTTTTTTATATGCAAATTTTTATATTGAATTTTGTGGCTTTTAATTATGTTTATTAGATTTGAGGGCACGTGTAATCTCCTTAAAATTTACAAAATAAGCTTTTAACCAACATACATATTCCCAGGAACATAACCTGAACTACTGATGACTTATTTTAAGAAATTAATACTTTTATTCAGGAGGGACACATTCATTTGCTCAAGACGTTTATATTGATATAAAATAATTCTGTTTCAAATAAATGCTGTTCTTTTGAAGTGTGTGTGCATCTGTGTGTGTGCGTCTGAGAATGAGAACCAGAACGGAGAAAGAAAGCGCAATTTCCGTAGCTACATAAAAAGGCGGAAAACATGGAAATAGTTTGTCATTTTTAAACTATTGGTTGTTATATTTGTCTTCTGGGGGTTTTGGTTCTTTACTGTTGTAGATTGCCCATAGTTTAAAAAATATACTGATATATATGAGCGAGCATAGGCATGTGCCTAGAATGCCTATGCATAAATCCGGCCCTGAGTGTAAATGATATGAATATTTTGCTCTTTCTTTTTCTCTTGTAGTTGCAGTCTGCATCTGAGCACTTCATATCAGCCAAACACACAACTCCAGTAAAGAAATACATTGATGACATCAACTTCCGACTCGTCTCCTATGGATTTTTCACACACTGCCATGTATCTGTAAGTGTCTATATACAAACAATCATCTAAATTTGACTTCATTTATATAAGAAAATCACGTTTGACCAAGCAAATAACCTGTTTAAACTTGTTCCTCAGGCCATGTCAGTGTCAGAGACCTGGTATGCTGTCACAGATCACGGCACCAACTACTGTAATCTCTACAACTTAATAGAAGGTAAAATAGGTCAAAAGACAAAACAGCAGGCTGCATCTGATTGAAACGACACTAATGTAAAGACAAAACCAGCTTCTGAGGTTTATTGTCTGTGTGCAGGCAGTGGACTTACTGAAGCTCCAGGATACAAAGAGATCACCAGTGACTTCCTGTGCACCCAGCGCTCATCTGCTAACTGTACTGTGTACTAGCACGGAAACAAGACTTTTTTATATGCAAATTTTTATATTGACTTTTGTGGCTTTTAATTATGTTTATTAGATTTGAGGGCACGTGTAATCTCCTTAAAATTTACAAAATAAGCTTTTAACCAACATACATATTCCCAGGAACATAACCTGAACTACTGATGACTTATTTTAAGAAATTAATACTTTTATTCAGGAGGGACACATTCATTTGCTCAAGACGTTTATATTGATATAAAATAATTCTGTTTCAAATAAATGCTGTTCTTTTGAAGTTTTGAAGAATCCTGAAAGAAATATATCAAAAATATTAATCAGCACAACTTTTTCAAACGTTTTGAATGTTTCTTGAGCAGCAAATCAGCTTATTATAAAGATTCCTGAAGGATCGTGTGACACTGAAGACTGCAGTAATGATGCTAAAAATTAAAGGAATAAATTACAGTTTAAAATATATTCAAATAGAAATCAGTTATTTTTAATTGTAATAATATTTCACAATATTACAGTTTTTACTATATTTCTGATCAAATAAATGCAGATATTGGTGAGCATAAGAGACTTCTTTCAAACACACACAAAAAAAGTTTTTTTTCCCCCCTCTGTCCAATCAAATGCTCTGTAGAAGGAGAGTGTCCCGCCCTCTAGCAAAAGCAAAAGCTTCAATATGTCTTATTTTAGGAAATACAAAAAAAGAAACTGTACTTATCAAGGTGTTTTTTAAGCTGGCTTCCATTATGTATTAACTGCATAAGAACTTAATAGTTTAAAAATAAAACGTATAGTTCTAAAGTTGTTGCTATTGTGTAACTCTTCTAAAAAATAAAAAAAAAGACTTATTCTGTTTTATTCTTTGCTTGAGTTTTGTGCTCCTGCTCTGTATTTTCCTCCTCGGTCAATACGGATGAGGGTGACATTTCATATGCTGTCCTTAGAACAATGTTTGGAGACAAATATAGAAGTTCTCAATGGTGTTAGGCTCAGTGTTCTGCACGGACATTTTCTCTCTAAGGGCAGCAATATGCTCCGGTGGGTGCAGCCATCCATCATATATGTCTTGCACTCATCACTGAAGTCCTTCTGGTTGATGCCATCTGTCTTTGTCTGCTGCAGTGGCGCTCTGTCACCAGAAGAGGGAACTGTTTGCAAGTGTTTTTTTAGTACTGTCGGTGCAACGTTTTCATTAGATAAATAATATCTAAAAAATTAATTAAATTATATATTTTTAATGGTTTTCATTTTCTTCACTATCATAACTAATATTTTACATAGCATTTTTTGAAGCATATTAATTTTTTTTTTTTCAAACAAGCATATTTTTGTTTTCTCAACCTAGTATTATTTTTGGTTATTTTGATTATTAATAAAACTGTGACTTCCCACATCAATACTAGTGGTCAAAAATGTAACCCATATATTCAACATTCAAGGTTGACCAAAGGTAAAATATGAGGTTAACACTATAGTACAGCAGTGATGAGAGTTCATGGAAGAGATTGGACAGTCTCTTGAGTGAAAGACTGAAATGGTCGCTCTCAGGTGTGAGAAGTTTAAGTAGCTGAAAGAAGAAAGGTACTCCATTACAGCCCAGAATATTGCAGAGATTTTTCACATTCACTGAACCATTACTGTAGACTGAGAGACACAGTATTAAATAATGTCACACTGGAACCCACACAAACCTTTTATAAAACTGCAGGATCTGTTGATCTGCGCAATGCTGTGCCTGTAAACAAGAGATATAAAATTAGGGAAAACAGCGGATTTAGCTCAAGTTAACGTTTCTTTGAAGCTAGATCAAGTTTATTTAATTATATCTCTGTCATTTTTGCTTACTGTCAGTTTCTCTTTTCCTACTGTAATTTCTACACTGGGAGCATTTTGAATCTCTCTCAGAACCGAGTTAGCTGACTCCAGCCCTCAACATTACGAAGTATATCATTGATGAAAGGGTGCACAACCCTTTCAAAACCAATTAAAGAGGCCTTAGCCCGCAGGGGTGGTGAGGGAAGGGCTGACAGGAGACCACAGAGGAACTCAGAGAGGTAATCAGTGCCTTGCTTTTGAACAATATTGAAAAGCACAACAGTATCGCACAATAAATCACATTGAGCGGTGCAGGTTTTCAAGGACAAACAGGTCGTCTCCTTAAATACACCTTGTGACATGTTCACCTTTCTGTCTGCTGTCAGATTGTTTACTTATTTACAGTGTGTGTCAATAGCAGCCTGTCGCTAGTTATTAAAGCATGGAATTCGGTGACGTTATTTTATTGATTAAATACCACTGGAGCACTGACAAACACTACAACATTAGATTTTCCTTGACAATTTTTTAGTGATAAAATTGCACGTGTGTATTTTCGGCCAGTTGGTGAGAATTCCAACCCAGAGATGTCCGATTCGCAAATGACTCACTGTTTTGAGTCAATTCTGTTCAATTGAACAAAGCAATCTGAATCAGTTTGCAATTCAGTCTAAATCTTGAAACTGCAGTTTAAAGAATTGTTCCACCCAAAAAAATATAAAAATGCTCAGGCTTATGATACATGGGGCAACTTTTTGAGCAATTTTGCCGGGCATCTTTTTTTGAGCAATGTTGTTTGGGCACTTTTCCATTGAGAATGGGTAACAAATTTCTATATGGATACTTTAAATCGGTCATGGGCCCTGTGTCTCACCTGGTTGCCCGTTGACGGAAAATTTGCCCAAATTTACCCAGCAACATTGCTCAAAAAGTTGCCCCGTGTATCATCAGCCTTACAGTACATGAAAGCCAATTACAAACTTATGAAGCAAAAAAGTATTAAATGCTTTAAAATATAAACAATTACAACTTTAATGTGACATTTTACATTAAATGTGCAAAAAGGATGAATTAAAAGACATTTTTGCAGAACTGGCATCTCTGATTTCTCCAACCAAGTTTCAACATAGAGGAAACGTTATGATTTCAACCGAATGGGTCAGTGGTACATGTTGAGTCAACCTTATTTCAATGTTGAATGGATGTTTTATTTTGGACCTAATAACGTTCCGATTAACCAACCAAATAGTGAATGTTGACTAAACAATGAAAATTGATTGGCAACTGATACTTACCTTTACAACTAAAAATAGACATTGAATTGACGTCTGCTTGCTATTGACTTGAATTATTTGAAGTGCCATATGTAAAAAATAGTGTACATGGATATGGTAGTCATTATATATTTAATTTTCTATGACAAAATATACCATCACTACCACTTTTTTAAATTATAAAACATGTTTTGTTTTTGATTTTTTTTAATTACTTTAATTTTTTATATTTAAAAAATATGAAGTTGTTTAAACAGAGCTAAATTTGTCTTGATTTGTGTGAGTAGTTTGCCCAACATTGCATATTCATTGAAAATATATTAAAGTGGTTTTCTGGTATAAACATATCCCTACTCTTAAAGTAAAAGAGAAGAATATCTGCATAATTAAAATTAATGTAACAGTAATTTTGCATTTAAATTTACATCTATATTTCTAGTCAATGCCTATGTGACAGTGCAATGTTGCAGGTGTCCAAACACTGAACCTTGTGGCACCCCAGTGCTGAGAGTACAGGCTGAAGTGAGTCAGTCTTTCCAGCTGACTAGTTACGACCTGTTACCCAGGTAAGACTCCAAGACATTGAAGTTGCACCTGAGGCACACCTATGAGTTTTGTTATTGATGATGTTCAGGTTCTTTTTACGTGACGTAGTGAATATCACCCCACGTCTTTACCACACCACTTTTGCCCTCCAATTTGGCCTTCTCCTACTTACACTTTATAATATTATCATCTGAAAATCTCTCCTGCACAATCAGACCTGCAGATGTCATTATACTATCAGCACAGATTAAATTCTACTAGCATCATGGAGTGGCATGCATATCCCGAGGGCACATAGGCATAGAGCACTACCTGACAGCATTAGGCCTGTCACCAGCACCCCTCTGACATCTCTTCCCCCTCACTAGGCCTGTCATCACTAATCTTGTCCCCTTCTCACAGGAAAAAATCACAGGGAGAAACCCAATGTGCTCTCTGATTGGGATGTGTGAACTCGGAATGGAGACCATTAATCTGTTGCACCCAAGGTCCCCTCAATTTAAGATAAGTTGGTTTACTTTTTCTTTATTTTGTCATAAATCAGTTGCTGACCATTTGCCAGTTTTTAGCTTTTTATTCTATTGCTTTATTATTGTTGCAATATTTATTTTGTGCTGCTTTATTTGAAGGTATTTATATTTTATTTATTTATTTATTTATGTATTTTTTTTAAACAAAATGTATTTGAAAAAAAAAAAACAAGGTTGAAAGGTTGAAATTATGAGATACTATGTCATAATTATGACATAAAAAGCTAAATTAGGATAAACAAAAACATAACAATTACATAAAAAGTCAAAATTATGAGATACTACATCATAATTATGACAAAAAGCAAAATTATGAGATACTAAGTCGTAATATTACTAACATAAAAACGTGAAATTATGAGATATGTCAATTATGACATAACAAGCACAATTAGGAGATACTAAGTCATATAATAATAATAATAAAAAAGTTGAAACTATGTGATACTAAGTCATTATGACAAAAAATTTTTTAATTAAATACGAAAGCATAATAATGACAAAATGTTGAAATTATACTAAGATATATATTAATATATAGGTCAGTTATGAGATGAAAAATCTAAATTATGAGATCAAAAGTCTTTACTAACATAAGAATCATAAAGTCTGTTTTATGTCACCAATGAACTTTTCATGTCATTGTGGTGACTTTTTATCTCAATTTTTACTTTTTATGTTAATTTCGACTTTTTTTATGTTAATTTCGACTATCTTGTAAATTTGACTCTTTGTCTCATAATTATGAGTACATCATAATTTTGGCTTTTTATCTCATAATTTTGACGTTTTATCGCATAATTATGACGTGTGTCAATTTTGCTTTATCTCATAACTTTGACTTTAC